TGCTCGTCCGTTTATGATCATATCTACTCTACACACTGCGAACCACTCCCTCCACATGATATACAAAGTACAAAACTAGGCTCATTTATTCTTCTTTTCCAATAAACGAGTCTTCGCGGTAACGTCGTTCACTGTAATGTCGTTTTTTGTATTCACTGTAATGTCGTTTTCTGTATTCGCGGTAATGTCATTCGCGGTAACGTCGTTCGCGGTAATATCGTTCGCGGTAATGTCGTGTCACGAATACTTTGAGCACTGATATCGATGGTATTGTTACTGTTGCATGCCTAAATAAGGCATCCCAGCGTATGTAACGTATAGCAGATACCTTACTTTATTACATGGAAATATTTTCTTACTATTCAAAAATGAGGTTGCATTGAAAGCATCTTAGGCACATTACTTTTTGAAAATGCACCTTTTTCAGTGTACCCCTTTTTGAAATTTCAATATTAACTATCTACATACGTTTTATTTCGACCAAATTGATGACGATAATACCGATACTATTTTAACATACCACGCATTAGTCCATTACATATTTAATAGTCAAGATGAGCCATTAAACGATCATAACAAAAGTAATACCACTTCTAAAATAACATGAATTTGTTCTCTAGGTCAACTTAATTCAAATTTGTCTTTTTCGGATAAGTTACATTCAAATATAACGTAGAAAGTAAAATCCTTACATTTGGTGCAAAAAGTTCCACCCAATTTCCAATGATAACCCCTAAGTTACATCTAATGCAAAAATGCAGCGAAATTTCAGCTTTGAATTCCTTGACTCTTGCTCTATCTAACTATGTATCATTGCATAGAGTTTCTATGAAAATTAGATTTGTGGCTGATTTTCCAACAGAATGGGCCTAAAAATGACACCTTCACTTTCCAATCCCTACTAGTTTTTTGTATCAAGGACTAGACCATTGTGTCATACATGGTTAGACAGAGCATCGAGCGGCTAACAAAGTTATATGTTTAGATTTTTCCATTTTGCTTTCCTTGCAGAAAAAAATAAGTTTCTTTTTTTCCACTATACAAAGCGGCAAGGAGATTTTTGACAAAGTCGCAATCTTTTCGACCAAATTTAATGGAAATGGCGTGAAATAGGCGAAAAACGATGGGGAATTCAATGGAAACATTTTTAAAATTTTCAAAACTAAAAAATCGAATTCAAGACTTTTTATTGCCCATCCATTTTAATGTTTTGCATATTTCTCTTGACCGAGAAGTCGCAGAAGGCTCGAAAACGTCTCACTTTGTTCAGACTTCAATTCGCTATTGTTCTAGACCATTTTCAAAAAGTCTGATTGTTGAGAAGGTTTTCTGGAGATCCGATCTCTGAAAAATCGTTTGAATGGTTTTAGAAAATTTTACAAAAGTTTCTGTTGAATTCCCCATCGTTTTTCGCC